ATCGAGACCCCGAGAAATATATTCAAGATTTCTATATGGATTAAAGAAATCTCACTATATATGGTATAATCGTGTTAATAATATTTATGGCTCAGAAAATATTATATTATTATATTATTTTGTTGAAAGTCACATGCTTTCTTTCTTTTGATATTTACATTATATAATATAATAAGTAAGGTGATCCTTCATTAGTGAATATTTGTTGAAAGAATATTATAATAATGATGTTATATATTTATAAAGAGATTTAGAAATACATTTGTCATTATTTAGTTTATGAACATTATTGGAACTCTTGAAGAGCTTCCACATATTATGGATTCCTCAAAGGAAGAGTTTGAGATGAAATACATTGGGAATATAAAGTTTTGTCTCAGCTTGAAGATCGAACATTTTATAAATGGAATTTTGTCTATGAATCCACATATATGGCAAAGTTATTAAAATAATGCTATGGGGATGCTAATGGCTATAATGTCACTTTGATGAGAAGATGACCATTTTCCACTTTGAAAAAAAAATTATGAAGAAATTATTGGTCCCGAAGTACTATATTTTAGTTCAATAAAAGCATTAATATATCTTGCTAGTCATATGACTGAATATAAGCATTTTATAATATTGGGTCCCGAAGTACGTATATTTTAGTTCAATAAAAGCATTTAATAATGCTTGGCGTAGTCATATGAACTGAATATGAAGCATTTTAGTAAATTTTATTTGCAAGATATAGTTCCTTCTGAATATGAAGAAAATGAATAGCGTGTAAAGTATGTACTTTTGATAATCTCATGAGCATGGATAAGTATATAGAATTGATGAGAAGATGACCATTTTCCACTTTGAAAAAAAAATTATGAAGAAATTATTGGTCCCGAAGTACTATATTTTAGTTCAATAAAAGCATTAATATATCTTGCTAGTCATATGACTGAATATAAGCATTTTATAAATTTTATTTGCAAGATATAGTTCTTCTTGAATATGAAGAAAATGAATAGCGTTAAATATGTATTTTGATATCTCAATAGCATGATATATATAAATTATATTATAACTAACATGTTAAAATCAGATTTAATTACCTATAAAAATATTGGTTATTTATCTAATCCACATTATGCGAGATCAGAAACAAGTCATTCATTTATATGTGGAGGTACAATTATTTTAAGGCATTCGAGAAACAAAAAATATTGTTACTGCTTCTTCCAGCAATGAAGAAATTTTAGCAACTAATGAAGAAAGACGAGAATTTTTTTGATAGAGATAAATATTTCAATATGTTCAAAGTACGTAAAGTCTACTTGTCGAGAAAAAAAATTTGTACAATATTATATGGAGATATATTAAAGAAATTCTTCTTGAAAGAATTATATTATTAAAAAAACAAGAAGAGCATATTTATAAAAATTCTTTTTCGCTCATGATTGGCAAAAGAATGATAATCTTGAAGTTCAACCATTCAAGCGAAAATATTATTGATTTGCTAATCAAAGCACTTCTATTACACGTTTTCTACTACAAGCTTTCTACTACGAGGTTTTGAAGGACTAATGCACAAAATTAGAAGGCATAAACTCAAAGATCTTAAGATTTATCTTCATGAAGGAGAGCAAATACGCACTGTGCTCTTTTTCCTTTTTAACCAAGGTTTTTTCCCACTGAGTTTTCCTGATAAGGATTTTAATGAGGCAGTGTTTCAACGCGTATTTAAGAAAAGAATAATGTAATATTTTTGCTTTACTAAAATTTTTTTCCCACTTGATTTTTTTTTAGTAAGGTTTTAAAGAGGCATATTCTTTGAAGAATGGAAATTCAAGGGGAGTGTTATAAAATAAATGGATGTCTTATATACGCTATAAATTTATATTCTCAATTATTGCGAACTCTATCTTCCTGATTTGTGTAGGACTCTATAGAGTTCCACTTATGTAACTGTATATGTATGGCTTCAAATCAGTAATAAAGATACTCTCCCTTTATATCTCTCCCTAGTTTTATATTATTTTATAACAATGTAATCAAATACTTGATTAATTTCAAGAATAATTTTTAATATGGATCATGTAATTTTTATGAATACTAACATAAAGACATATATTAGAAAAAATGAATAACAAATGATACTTTAACTAGAATAACTAACTTTTCTTAATCTGTACATCAAACTAGGACGAATTATATGGGATGGAGAAAGTATATAATTTTGGGAAATGTATTTCATCTTTTAAAATATTATTAGTGCTTATTATTATTAGCCATATTGCATAGAAGTCTTTAGTTATTTATTCATTTATCCGATCTCTATCATTTTCCAACAACATTTAATGTTCCATTATAACTGTAATAAGTGAACAATTTGGCTTCGACTTTTGTATTTATTACTACTTTCGTCCCCGAATTGATAGTAATTTAGTTAGAAATACATGTAAATTTATGATAAAGCTACAATAGAGAATATGAAATTTCTGTACCCATAAAGAAATTTAAGGAAAAAAAAAAAAACTTAACAATTCATTAATAATGAATAGAAGTTGAGTACATCATAATATTCCTATATGAATAAAAAATACAAATATAGAAAATTGAAATTTTCTGTTTGGAGATGTTCTTGATCTTGGCAGAAGATGTTAATGTTTTGGGTAAAAGTGGTCCATTTTCAAATAGGATGACAAAAGAAATCCTTCACAACATTGTCCCGAATATTATTTTTTCAGGAACTTGTTACAACTGACCCCGCAAAAGAGTTTAATAAACGAAATTTTAATGGAGAAACAGGCCACACTGCCAGGCTCCTTTGGTAAAAGAAAATTATCCGAATTTGAAGATCTGAAGTCCAACCACAAGCAACCATCTTATTTTTCGAGTTGAAAATTCACAGAAAAACTACTCAATAAAGAGGTACAACCCCATGAAAGGAGAGAAACTAACAAGCCCACTAAGAGGATACAAAAAACACTCAAGATCTATCATCTGAGAGACTAAATCTAAATTTTATTCTAAACGGTTATATGTTTAGAAATTATTAGAAAGAAAACTAAACAAAATAAAAAAAACGATACAAAGGCACGAAAAGAAACTACCGCCGACCAAAGAAATTAAATATATTTAAAAGCAATTTGGAAAAAAAATAGATGACCAGGTCAAATAATCTGTTATGGCAGGTTCATTTTTATATAATAGTAAAAGCCGAAACTTTACATGTATATTTCCTGTTATATCTCTAATATTTTAATATTAGATATACTCATTAATCTATTATTGACTTTTTGCATGAACCAAAAATCAATGAATTATTCAAAGTTAATTAATATACGTGGGAAATGGCAAAACTTCGTCAGTATTCGATAACAGTTTTTTAAGTAGATTTTATTATTTTGATCAGTTAAAATGCTAAAAGTTATTTTTTTTAATATTTGGTTACATAGCGTTTAAATTATCTTTTAGATGTTAAATTAGCATTTTATAAAAAGTTAACTCATATAACGTTTAATTTTTATATTTTATGAAAAGCTATTCAAACAGATAACAATTATTAAAACAATTAATTTTGCCGAACATACCATTACTAAATACTTACATTTGCAGTTTTCAAAGTGAGTTCAATAAATAATAACATTTGAAAAATAAAGACTAATTAATAAAAATAATTTTTTTTATCAAGTAACATTAAATATGGGTATCATAAGTCAATTCATATATGATACCAAAGGAGTAATGTTGAATGAGCATAGCTATATATGTGGTCTTTTCTTATTATATAATTTTTTTCTTTTTTATTTCTTCTTTGTAGATGACCCACGAGGTTACATGGCGAACTTCGAGCCGGTAATTTAGCCATTAAAACCTTAGCAATTATAGGTTTTTTAATCGAATTTGTGGGGGTGGAGCGAATAAATGTAAAAAAAAAAAGGACATCCCAGTTGGGCGGGTATAATTCATTTTTAAATCTACTAATATTCATTGACTAAGAGGGTCCTTGGTCTTTTTAAATTATAGTAGTAATCTTGTATTCTCCTTGTTAAATGAGGAGAAATTGTTAGGCGGACCGGGAGATACGGGTTAACATGCATCAACATGAATTTAAAATGAGGAATTTAGCTGTCATTGGTCCTTTAAAACTTCACCAATTTATACTTTGTACATGGTAGGCAAACTTTGAAACGTGGTACACCAAGGCATAGTATAGTGGTAAATGTATATACGGCCTGATAAATGATTTAGTTTCGAATCTCTTTTTCCAATACTCCAAAAAAAAAAAAAAAAAAAAAAAACGGCCTGATAAAATGATTTAGGTTTTTCGAATCTCTTTTTTCCAAATACTCCAGAAAAAAAAAAAAGAAAAAACGTTTTCAAAGGTGTGATGCCTAACATTCTTTTTCAGCACTATCCGGAAAGAAAAAAAAATTAATGGTCCAGTCTAAATGATAAGATAAAAAAAAAAAAAAAAAAAAAAACTTTCAAAAGGTGTGATGCCTACAATTCTTTCACACTATCTGGAAAAAAAAAAAATTAATTCCACTAAAATAATACTCAATATGGCTCTTTTGTAGCTATTATTTCAGTTTGTCTATTTAATTTTAATTGACCAAATAGATATCTCCAAGCTATTAAACTAGATTAAGAATAAATCATGCTCTCATATGATCCGCCCGTTAACTACTCATTGGTGTTCATTTATTCTTTTAAACAATGCCATACCAACTCCATTGTTTTTCATAGACATAATTTTTTAGAAAATACTTACTTAAAAGTGTATCCATAATTCCATCTACGAACCAAATCAATAAAAATATGAATTTTTTAAAAATTATTCATACTTTATCATTTTCTTTTAATATATGGTTAGAAATACCCTAGTTTCAATAATAATTCACACTTTCGTTGATTTGGTAAGTAGATGAGACCATGAATCTAGTTAGGATTATTAAAGATGTGGTGTGGTGTACAATCTTCCTTGCTACCATTCATTGATTCTCCTCCGATAAGAATTAATGGAAACAATCTCAAATCTCCCTAGTCCCCAAAACCAGGGCACTCACCAAGATGTAGTGATCTTGGACAATGAATGGTTAAGAACAGCAGAGAAAAACATCAAGAAAGAGCCCAAGTTTCTTAACAACACATCTGGTTGGGAAGCTTGTTCAATCTTTCGAGCACCTCAAACCCTGAAGAAAATTCACCACCAAGAATTTGAACCTCAGGTAGTTTCCATTGGACCCTATTACCATGGTAAAAAAGAACTCCGTATGATTCAAGAACACAAATGGCGATTGCTTGGTGGTGTAGTAGACCGTGCAAAAGAAAAAAAGGTTGGCCTTGGTCTCGATGACTTTTACAAGGTCGTTAAGATAAAAGAGGCTGAGATAAGACAGTCTTATTCGGATTCAAATTCTGTTGATCGATTTGATAGCAAGAAATTAATTGAAATGATGGTATTAGATGGGTGTTTCATTTTGGAGCTAATATGCGCAGCAGAACGCCAAGTGAAAAGACAAAATGATCCTTTATTAATGCCTCGGTGGCTGTTGTATTCCATTTCCAGAGATCTACTCAAGCTGGAGAATCAAATTCCTTTTTTTGTTCTTACAACTTTGTTTAACCAACACTGGAAATTCATAATGAGAGGTAATGATAGATCTTTAACCCAACTTATTTTCAAATTCTTTCATCGTTCAATTCAGATAAATGATAAGGTGATTCCAGATAGTTGTAACAACCTTGATGGGAAACATTTACTCCATTTGTTTTCCCAAAGATTCATATCTCCATTACTCTCAGTCACAGAAACTGTTTCTGATCGTAACCTAGAAAAACAAAAAGAAAAGAAATGCACTAGACGTTTTTGTTTTCCATGTTTAACTAAAAAAAGAGAGCATCTTCAATCCATACGGCCAGTTGAGAAGCTTTTGGCGGCTGGTATTAAGTTCAAGAAAAGTGAGATTGTGTTGAGCTTTTTGGACATAAAATTTAGACCTAATGGTATTCTTGAAATTCCAAGATCATTTACAGGTACTTTGACAAGCTGCTTTTTACTTAATTCTATTGCATTTGAACAATGCTATGTGTTTTGCAAGCCCTACTTTACACCATATGTTGTTTTCATGAGTTGCCTCATTAGTGCATCTTCTGACGCCGGGCATCTGCTGGATCGAAGAATTTTTGAGAACTCAGGAACTGATGAAGAAGTTGTTAAATTCTTTAGCAGCTTAAAAGATGATGTTTTTGTTGATATTACGGGGAGTTATCTGAAAAGGGTGATCGACGATGTGAATGAGTATTATGATAATGTTTGGCATATCAGATGGGCGGAGTTCAAGTATAATTATTTTGGCAATCCATGGATTTTCCTTTCGGCTTTAACTGCTTTAATCCTCCTCCTTCTCACCGTTCTTCAGTCATTCTATACTGTTTACGGATATTTAAATCCTCCTTAATAAAGCAAGACTCTCATTTACAGCAAAGAACAAGTATTCTCATAAATCCATTGTATTCCTTTGGGATAATTATGCAGTTGGTCTCTGAACTTTGTTGTTGTCGTTGTCCCTACTGTGTCTAAACTTTTCTTGTTTTGAGCAATGCATCTCTGGGGTAGAGTTGATGTGGATCTTTTTGCTTTAAAATAAGAATTATTTACTTCTGAATTAGTTCCCAAAATTTAACCTAGAAGTTTTTGTTCCGATAAATGAAAATAATAAATTAAAATTGTTAGCATATTAATTGAAATATAGTATATAATATCTTTAAATTCCCAAAATATCATTTAGTATCCTTAATTGTCTCTAAATTATCTTTAATAAATCTTTAAATATCTTCATAATATATTTTTTATTAACAGATATGGGATAGTGGAAATATTATCTTAAATATCTTCACAATATATCACTCCAAAAAAATTCACTAGGTAAATGCTGAATTTTTTTTTATAGGCAATTTAATTGTTTTATTACTTTCTATAAATTTAGAAAAAAACTTAACATTTTAGATGTCTAAACTTGAGCCAATAGACTCACACCAAACAATTTAACCTAACTCAAAAATGTTAAGTAAATGAAAACTAGAATCAAAACAATAGGAAGTGCATAAAGTACAACTATTACTTTTCTTGAGATAAGATAATAAATAGCCATGGAAACATTCTCAAACATTATGTGGATAGTTATTATTACCTACAAACTAGCGATATAAACATTATTTTTGTTAAGTCCTTGTCTCAAAATAAATTTAGACCAATCAATATTTATCGGTAAATTAGTGACCAAAAGTTTGTCGGTAAATAAAACTTTTTTTTTTTTTTTTTTTCAAACATTATGTGGATAGGTATTATTTACCCTTACAAACCTAGCGATATACATTATTTTTGTTAAGTCCCTTGTCTGCAAAATAAAATTTAGATCCAAATCAATATTTATCGGTAAATTGAGTGACCAAAGTTTGGTCGGTAAATTTAAAAAAAAACTTTTTTTTTTTTTTTTTTGTGGGTAAATGTGAGTTTCATGTTGTCATAAAAATGTTGTCCTCAATTTTTTTCGGTGAAAGTTTATGGATAAATTTTTATTGATGTTGTTGTTAACTAAGTCTTATTGGTAGATTTAACTTTTTTTTTTTTTTTTTGTGGGTAAATGTGAGTTTCATTTGTCATAAAATGTGTCCCTAATTTTTTCGGTGAAAGTTTATGGATAATTTTATTGATGTTTTGTTACTAATCTTATTGGTAATTTGTAGATCAATTGGTAATCATAAAAAAAACAATCATTGTTTTGAAAATTAAATTATTCAGTCTAAAATTTATAGGAAAATGGTCGGTAATTTATCGAAAAATAGTCATTGTTATAATTTGTAATTTTGAAAATTAAACTATTTAGTGAGTAATTGATTGGTAATTTGTCAAAAAAACTGTGAATAATGTTGAGCATAATTAAAAATTTTCAATTTGAAATGTCAATCAAAACATGTAAAATAGCAAAATCATTTATTTACACCTGTATAAAACAAAACTATTTAAAATATCACAAACGTGCAATATAATAGCGTCTATGATAATGTCACGATACTGCAATATTTATATAGTTATTATAAAACTTGTTCCATAAGTTAAAAAAATTATCAAAGTGAAATATTTAGAACAAAAGTATAGGAAAGGTAAAACATCCAAACCAACATTATCCTAATCCTCGTCCAGAGCCACTGTCCCTTCTGCACTTATAAATCTACCACCATCAACTGTAGCAACATTAGGTGGTTCAGTAGTAGTAAAAGATGAATCTAGTGCACCAATTGTGGTGGTACGGAATGAATGCATCTGCAAATGACGACTAAGCTAAGAAATCAAAGCATTTTGCTTCATAAGCTCTCACAACATCATCTCCTTTTATTCTTTAAGCTCTCGCCCCAAAGAGGCTAGTAGTTCACTCTTATGACTAAATGATTATATAGTTTCTAAATAGTAAACTATGGTTAATGTCAAATTAAACTATAGCAGAGGTTAATGTTAAATCAAATTATGATTGAATTACATAAAATAATTCTATCGATAGTAAACCATATTTAGATTTTCATAGACTGCATAATTTATTAAAAACTTATTAAGAATCCACATAGAGTTTATATAGCACCAGCTTAATAAGATTATCGGTCTAAAAACATATCAACAATTTTATCCATTCATGTTAATCTAGTTAGGATCAAATGAATAAAATAGAAAACATATTAATGCAAATAAAGTTGTAAACAAAAGTGACTTGAGCACAAAGAGTGCACAGAAAATGTAATCAATTCAAGACTAATTTTGTGATACCCAAGATCTAGTTTTATAATACAGGACTCTAAGAACCACATTAGGTTTAACATTGAAGCATTAAATCGACATGCTTAATAATTAACCATTTAACAATATTTCTTTTAGTGTTACAAAAATAACTTTAAAAAATTTTCAGAGAAATCCTACAAAAAATTGCAAGAGTTTCCCTTTATATTTAGTGTTCCAAAAACACATAAAAACATTTGAAACACTTCAATAATCCATCAACACCTCAACTATATTTGCTAAATATTTTCCAGCACAATTCAACTTTCTCAACTCATCATCCATCACATCTCATCAAAACTCAATACATATTAGAAAATAGTTTCTTTTAATTGAAATCATTTAAAATAGTCATTACATGCCATAATATCATGACTATGAAAATAAACTACTATTTCAAATACTTTCATAATGCACGAACTTAAATAAAAATATCCAATGTCTTAATTATATTTATATGCCGCTAAATTGTCTTAAAAACTGAAATAAGAGAGAGATTGTTTGAAATTGATTGTAACGGGATAAGACCTCTGATAAGTCGGATGTTCGATGTTGATCGTCTACCCCAAAAGTCAGTAGCCTGCCCGAGACAAGTCAATGCACTAAGCATAAACTTTAGTAGTGTTTATTACCTATTTATAACATGGAGATACACATAAGCAGTCATAATATCATAATTCATCATTTATCACGGCCAAGGCAATATTCAACAGTTATAGCATAATTCGGTCATAAATAAAATATTCAAATATAGCACACTACAAAAAAAATCAGCGTTTTAAGACTGCTATTTGCGACCGACACGAAACGGTCGCAAATTAGCAATTGATTTGTGATAAATAGCGACTAATAGTTTTAGTATGTCTACTGTGCGGTCCCCTTTACCTCCACCTACTGCTATCCCTCCTTCCTCTACTCCGCGACCAGCAGATTCTTCGCCACTTGCTCCATCTCCATCTGCCCTAGGTAATTGCACAAATGTCATATCATTTATATACTTTCATATAAATATTTAGTATGTCTAGTTTATTGATTTTGCGTCATGTTTGTTCTTTTTGCAGCAGCTTCTTCGGTTGAGGCACGTAAAGAGCTCCGATTTGTGGCAAGACAGTAAGTATTAGTTAATTCACTTATGCATTTCAATTGTATTTAAAGCAGTTGATGGTGGTAGATTTATAAGTGCTTAACGTCAAAACATGAAATACATTATGGATCTTGTCCAAATTATGAGGTAAAGCCCGTCTATAGGCCAACAAAACCACACGCTCTAAGATCTTGTATGGACCAATGAACCTAGGATTCAGCTTCCCTTTCTTATAAAATCTAAAGACCTTCTTCCAAGGTGAAACCTTGAGAAAGACCTTATTACCCGTAGGGTATTCCATATCTCGTCTCTTAAGATCAACATATGACTTTTGACAATTTGAAGCCTCCTTCAATCTACTCTGAATCAACTGAACCTTTTCCTATGTATCTCTAATCAAGTCTAACCCAATGATCTTCCTTTTGCTCAACTTTGTCCAACAGAGAGGTGGCTTACACCACCTTCCATATAATGCATCAAATGGAGTCATCTGAATATTAGATTAGTAGCCGTTACTATATGCAAACTCAATCAAGAACACATACTTTTCCCAACTGCCTTCAAAATCTATAACACAACTATGAAGCATATCCTCCAAAGTTTGAATTACCCTCTCAGACTGACCATCAATTTGAGGATGATAAGCAGTATTGAAGTGCAACCGTGTACCCAAAACCTCATACAACTTAGCCTAAAATCTAGAAGTAAACCTCAAGTCTTAGTCTGAAATGAAAGAAGGAAGACCATGCAATTTGACTATCTCCTCAATATACAATTGAGCCATACTTATCCAATGATTAATATGTCCTCACAGGCAAGAAATTAGCTGACTTAGTCAATCTATCCACTGTAACATAGATAGAATCCTTCTTAAGTATAAGAGGCAACCCAATCACAAAGTCCATAGTAATCCAATCCCATTTTCATTCAGGCAATAAAATCGGATGTATAAGAGCAGCTGAAAACTGATGGTCGACCATAAATTGTTAGCAAACCAAACATCTGGATCATACTTTGAAATACTCCTCTTAAATACTAGTCACCAATAAAACTCTTTGAGATCATGATACATCTTATTGCTACCACAATGCATGGCATAAGAACTAACATGAGCTTCTTCAAGAATCATCTGTCTCAACCTAGAAATCTTAGGCACTCAGATATGATCTTCGAAATACAAGCAACCATCATCCTTAATCTGAATTCTCTTCTTCTTACCCTTTAAAGTTAGCTTTTTGCATTCAGCAATTTGAACATCTGAACTTTGACATCTCTAACCTGTTGAACCAAACTCAGTCTGACCCTTAACTTAGTCTCAATGGACCCATCATCCCTCAATGATATATTAACAAACATGGCCCTCAAAGCAGAAAGGGACTTCCTGCTCAAAGACTTTTCTAGATGGTAATCAATCACACAATCATAATCTTTAAGTAGCTCGAATCATCTCCTCTATCTCAGATTCAATTCTTTTTGTGTGGGAAAATACTTCAAGCCTATGTGATTACTGTAGATGAAACACTTCTCACCATACAGATAATGCCTCTATATCTTAAGAGCAAAGACAATCGCATCAAGCTCTAACTCATGAGTGGGATAGTTCTCCTTATGAGGCTTAAGCTACCTAGAAGCATAAACAACTACCTTACCCTCTT